TCCCACCACCTGCACTGGGTCCAGGGTGCATCCCAGAACAGAGCTGGCCTTCCTGATGAGTTTATCCAACCTCTTCCTCTCAGCTGCCGATAAACTGCTGCTCCAACATACAACACTGTAAAAAATGACAGATGCCACCACAGAGTCATAGAAGGTCTTTAAAAGCGCTCCCTGTACTCTAAATGACCTCAGGCGCCTCAGCAGGTAGAGTCTGCTCTGACCCTTCCTGTAAAGAGCATCATTGTTGAGGCTCCAGTCCGGTTTCTTATTCAGGTTATTATTATCCGATGCAGTCCTGTCTCAGAGGATTGTCTTCTTGCACATTCTTGTTTCATTGATTCATATAGATTTAGGCCTTTAACAGCTATCAAATAATTTCCCACATCTGAACCTAATTTGTTGTTATATCTGAGGTTTCTAACCTGTTCGTTTGAAATATTCTTCCTGGCAGTTACTTTTATACAAGCCATTGTGTCACTGGGATCTTCATTGCTGCATTTTTTTTCTGTAAACTTCTCCAGATCTGTGCGGAATCTAACCTTAAACAGAAACATAAATACCAACCACAATCTTATAAAGCAGCAGGTAAAACATTATTGTAAATGACAGAGATTATTTCACGAACAATGCCAAAGATCCTGTTGACTGATTAGAAAATATTCATACACTGTCTGCTAGCTTGTATGCATTTTCAGCCTGTGAGCTAAGCTAACAAGTCAACGCCACTTCTATTGCACAACACAGTCTTTCGCACCGCAGCCAGCTGAGTTGAACACATTATGTTTTCTTGCTAGTTAAGTTTTGCACATTGTCACTGCTGTAGTTTAATGTTTGTCGGTCCTCAGGTCCACACACTGCCATGAGCTGTTGTCTGTCTTGTCTGTTAGGAAGAAACACGTTTGCAGATAACTTCTGAAGCAACCTGTAGTACACTAATTTGGTCACTAATTTGGTCACTAATTAATCAAAGGTTGGCAGCTATGCAGGCAAGTTTAAATGACTGTACTGTAGTGAGGTTTACAGACATGCACTATACTCAGCTTGTACAGAACAGGCTGTGGTGCTGATGGTCGCTGTGCGGTTACATCAAGCATAGCAGACATCAATACATATTTAATATAATGAAGCTGATAAGATTCACTCTCCAAATTCTGCCTGTTATACTGTCCTTATAGTGTCCAGGGGCTGGAAATCAGCCACGCAGGTCAGTTGATCACAGCCTTTACATGACTAAAAACTACTAGAGATTCCAAAACAACTTATTATGTGAGCAGTTTGAAGTCACTCTTAGGGCTCCTGCACCTGCTGAAACCCACTTTAAAATCATGGAGGCACAGCTGCCAGGGTGGCAGGAGCCAGGAGCTGCTCTGCATCT